GCTTATGCCTTCTCACATGGGATCTTCTGTCTGAGTCAGTTCTCTTGAAATCTCCCTTCAGACAAAGAAAGAAGTGATGATCTCTTTTACAGTCTCTGTTCCTGCACAGGTAAGTATCTTTGCATTCATCATCTTCACCATGACAGACTAAACACCTTTTGCATGCCCCCAGCTTTTCTACAGCAGCCAACTTTTCCACAGGCTTCAGTTCTTTGAAACGCTTGCAAAAGAAGATCTTTTCTCCATGCTTTTCATCTCCACAGACAACACATCCGCCTTTCCTTGTGGAACGTGTGGACGCATATCTTCTCTCCATACAAGCATATTTCTTTTCTGGCTTTTCACTAACTCCCAACTGCTCTAACTTCTCTAGAATTTCTTCTTGTGTTTTCAGAAATTTAAGAAGATTCTCAAAGTGATTGTCCGGTGTTACGCCATTTGCTGGGTTAACCATGAAGACAAGCCAATCTCTTTTCATGTTGTCAGGTAACTTACTTTCTATTGATTTGATCACCAGAGGGTTGTTAATGGCTCCCGTGTTTCCAAGTTCTGTGAGGTCATCCAGGGCCTTCTCTATATTTTGAATTAAATCAATGACTTTTCTTGGCTGATTTGCTCTTAAAACAGGAATCTTCTCAAGATCTTCAATAATTTCCAAAGCAATTGTGGACTTGTTTCCATATCTATTCTCAAGCACTCGGAATATGTCTTCAGCAGTGTTGTAGGTAGACAAACGGAGCTCTCTGCACATCCTGTCGTCTATGCTGTCAAAGAGTTGTATCTTTTTAACTTCAGCTGAGCCAGTTGGTTCTCCCTGCTTTTGTAGACTTTCCCAGTCTTTCCTCCATCGATGGAAATTCCTTTTACATCCATTGAATATGGGTAGACTGGTTGGCTTTATTCTCAACGTTGGTTGTGGTTGTGGAACTGGCATGGGTATCTGGGGAACCCTCGCTCTGTCTCTTTCTTCTTCTGCTATTCTTTGTGCGATGATGAACTCCACCTTTCGTGCTTCAAGGTTGCTACTGCATCCTTTCAGATTCTTTAATCTAGTTTCCAGACTGGATTTTTCTGCTTCTGGAATCCACATCTCCCAAGCTGCTAGGGTAGTGATTACACCTTGGATCATTCTTTTTGCGCCATCCAGCTGGAACTCAAAACCATCTCTGTTTACAGCGACAACGGGTGTTGCAGCAGCTCTATCACAGGCTGTCTCTGCTTCCTGGATTGCTGTTCCCATCTCATCTTTACCATATCTTGACCATAAGTTGAACAGGACAATTTGTTTGACCTCTTCCAATCTTACCTCACATTCATGGATTGTCTTCTCGAAATCAGCCTGCTGCTGCTTATCAAGTTCAGCTTCTTCACCATCTGACATGTCCGCTTCAATGTCTGCCAGTAAACCAGCTCTATACTCATCATTTGTCTCGCCGACACTCCTTGCCTCAGAAATGAGTTTTTTGAACTCCTCTTGTAGTTCACTTTTCATCAAGTTTTTGGCTCCTCTGCTGAGGAAGTTTGCCTGCCTGGTGAATGCACTCTTAGCCAAGGTCCTCTCTTGCTTCAGCTGCTTCACTGCTTTTCCAAAAGCTTCCTCTGCCATTGCGAGACGATTTCAGATGATTCTCTTTCACTGCGTCGACACTTTGAGACGTTTAGGCCTTTGATCCTTCTGTCTTCATTGCCACGCTGATTATCAACTGTCAAGTTTCCCACTTTTTTATTCAGCTCTGCCCAAACTTGATAAGGCGTTCAAACATTGAAGGACGCAAGAGAAAGCAACTCATTGACTTGACTGTTTATTTTCTGGGATTGCAGAGGTATTTGCAGAAGCAGTAGTCAGCAATAGGTCAGAAATAGATCAGCAATAGATCTGCAACAGATCTGCAATAGGTCTGCAATAGGTCTGCAATAGGTTGATAATCTTTAAAGATAAAAATAAACAAAAGAAACACACATTAATATAAAAAAGATGTTATTTAAAGTAACATTTTAACATCACCATATTACCTACAATGTAAATCAACTAAATCAAAATGCTTTGACAAGAAATAATAAATGTTAACAAACTTAAACACCTTTCCCTCAAATCACACCAAATCATACAAAATCTTAGCATCAATCAGTAATGTAGCAAGCAAACTAGAAAAATCCATCAAATATGCTAAAACACAATACTGATCTCTTACAACTTATAGATTACATCAAAAATAAATAAATAAATTCATGTTCATACCAGTTGCGTCTTCAAGTTTGAATTAGTTTTAACTGAATGTGGGTGAAATTCGTTGCAAGCCCAGCAAGATATCTTCTCCAAACTTTTCACCTGCATGTGCTCTTGTGGTGCACCACTTTATTGTGCCCCCTTGGAAACAAACCCTCTCAATGGTTCCTGCCCAGTCACCACACTACACTGCCCTCTACAGGAATTTTTGAGTATGACAGAATTTAAAGAAAAACCTCATTGTTTTGACGAAACAAGTTCATTTCAGCAATTAAAAGGTGAAACTAATATATTATATAGACTCATTACATGCAAAGCGAGATATTTCAAGCCTTTATTTGTTGTAATTTTGATGATTATGACTTACACCTTTTCACAATATTCTAATTTTGACTTTGGGCTTTTCAAAATCATCAAAATTATAACAAATAAAGGCTTGAAATATCTCACTTTGCATGTAATGAGTCTATATAATATATTAGTTTCACCTTTTAAGTTGAAATACTGAAATAAATGAACTTTTGCACGATATTCTAGTTTGCGTTTCACCTGTATTGTCACTATCCACAATACATTGTTGCATTTTTGCATTGCGATATATATTACACCCTTACTTTTTTACAATGCACAAATTTGACACATCCTTGCATGCATGCATATAGCCTTCTGCACAGTGCTAGTGTGCTATTATAAAAATAACCTGTAGCTGTAACCAACATGAAAGTCTCCAGTGCATTTATATAGTGCAATCTAAACGAAGACCTTTTGTTGGTTTGGTCACATGATCTCACATGGTTACAGCATCATCAACTAAAACAACACCAGTAATTATCCCACGAAGCCCACCGGACACCAAATCGAGTCCGTCGCCGACAGGGATTCGTCGAGCCAGGTGAGACATGCGAGATGACAGGCTCGTTTTATTTTACCGTAAACGTTAGTCATTAGTTACAACTCCTGTTCTCCTGCAGAATGCCTTTGCCTCGACAAGCTCCCGCTCACAGTAAGATTCACACTTTTTCATACATTTATAAGGCGAATATAGACATGAGATCTGTCTAGTCTTTCGGTTTATTAATATTATTTTATCCAGGCAGAGGGACGTTGCCTTCAGAGGGCAGATCAGCAAGAGACGCTGAGGAGGTGATTATATTATTTTCTTGACTTCCTTACATCTTTACATCGGTAACACTTTACAATAAGGTTCATTAGTTAACATGAACTAAGAATGAACAACATTTACTAATACGTTATTAAAAATCAAAGGTTGTGTTTGTTAACATTAGTTAATGCACTGTGAACTAACATGAGCAGCTGTGTTTTTATTAACATTAATACAATAACAGATGCATTCCTCATTGTTTGGAAATACATTAACTAAAGTTAACTAATGAACCTTATTGTAAAGTGTTACCCTCGAGAAGGTTTGGCTCTGACGGAGAATGAAGTGCCCCTGAATCAAGAACATCCCAGCATGCATTTCTCTGTCAGTCTAACTCTCCAGTTCTCTCACACAGGAAGCTGGTGTGTATAGCAAGGTTTGGTTTGCCGGCAGCTGTGACCGCAAGACGGCAGAGGACGCTCTCATCCGCTTAGCTAAGGCATGTCCGACTTGCACAAAACAGCACTGATGCATTTTACAAAGCGTCATTTAATGATATGCATTAGAAATTCCAGCAAATGCAAGTGGCCAATAGAACACTGATATATTATATGTTTTCCTTTTTTGTAAAATCACATGAACACTGTAATGGATTTTTTTCTTTTGCAACTGGAGCAACTGTGAATGGGTGGAAAAATAGTTTACGTTCGCTTCTGAGAACCCCAGAAATGTGAAACAGGTTCATGATTTGTAAAAAATAAATGAATTCAAGATGCACCAATATATTCAAAACCAGAAAATGTAAACCATGCATTGACAAAACTGTTAGAAATATGGAACAAACACGATTATCAGACAATGCAGATAATCTTAAAACATACCGGCTGCCATTATTCCTGTAGCTAAAACAGTAGTGCATGACGCTTGCAACGCCTAGGTTCGATTCCCAGGGAATGCATGAGCTGCTGATCAAGTGTATACCTTGAATGCAATGCAGGTCGCTTTGGATAAAAGCATCTGCCAAATGCATGAGTGTATTTGAGATGTAGCTAATCCGTATGCGGCTTTTTGTCTGATTGTATAATATTTCAGGACGGGTCGTTTCTGCTCAGGAAGAGCTCTGGTGTGGACGCGCAGCAGCCGTACACACTCGTGGTGTTTTACAACGGCCGAGTTTACAACATCCCCGTCCGCTACATCGCTTCCAACAAACAATATGCTTTGGGGAAAGAAAAACAAGGAGAGGAGGTAAAGAAGGACATGCTGATATACACTGGCCCTAAAAAGAATGTGGACACTTCAAAAAAGTCTAAAAAACGTAGTAGTTTTTAAGTTAATCTGTTTAACCCTTAATCAGTGTTCAAGAATCTGACCCCAAACTTTTACAGAGATTGCATGAGGAAATTTTTTTATTTTACATGATGGCAAACTATATATTTTTTTATTTACTTCTCAACTATACGTTTATGCTGTGTTTTTGTGGATTTTTACTTATTTACTGCACAATTACATAAAGTGAGAAGTTAATTTTTGTTATGTGCTCGGATAAATCATTTATAATAAATACTGCAATATTCAATAAAAATATGCACACAAAAAAATGCAATATGCAATAAAAAAAAAGAATTGTCAATGCTCACGTTTAAGTTGCATTCCGATAAGTGTGTTATATTTTTTTATTTACTTCTCAACTATACATTTATGCTGTGTTTCTGTGGATAATTAGTATTTTTTTTTTACCTGTTTACTGCACAATAAAGAGGGAAGTTAATTTTTGTTATGTGCTCGGATAAATCATTTATAATAAATACTGCAATATTCAATAAAAATATGCAATATGCAAAAAAAAAAAATGCAATATGCAATAAAAAAAAAGAATTGTCAATGCTCACGTTTAAGTTGCATTTCGATAAGTGTGTTATATTTTTTTATTTACTTCTCAACTATACATTTATGCTGTGTTTCTGTGGATAATTAGTATTTTTTTTACCTGTTTACTGCACAATAAAAAGAGGGAAGTTAATTTTTGTTATGTGCTCGGATAAATCATTTATAATAAATACTGCAATATTCAATAAAAATATGCAATATGCAAAAAAAAAAATGCAATATGCAATAAAAAAAAGAATTGTCAATGCTCACGTTTAAGTTGCATTCCGATAAGTGTGTTATAATTTTATTTACTTCTCAACTATACATTTATGCTGTGCTTTTGTGGATAATTAGTATTTGTTTTTAGCTATTTACTGTACAATTACTTAAAGAGGGAAGTTAATTTTTGTTATGTGCTCGGATAAATCATTTATAATAAATACTGCAATATTCAATAAAAATATGCAACAAAAAAATGCAATATGCAATAAAAAAAAAAGAATTGTCAATGCTCACGTTTAAGTTGCATTCCGGTAAGTGTTTTATAATTTTTTATTTACTTCTCAACTATACATTTATGCTGTGTTTCTGTGGATAATTAGTATTTTTTTTTTACCTATTTACTGCACAATTACTTAAAGAGGCAAGTTAATTTTTGTTATGTGCTCGAATAAATCATTTATAATAAATGCTGCAATATTCAATAAAAAATATGCAATATGCAAAAAAAAAAAAAAAAAGAATTGTCAATGCTCACGTTTAAGTTGCATTCCGATAAGTGTGTTATAATTTTATTTACTCCTCAACTATACATTTATGCTGTGCTTTTGTGGATATTTAGTAGGTTGTTGTTGTTGTTTTTTTTTACCTATTTACTGCACAATTGCTTTAATTTGTGTTATGTGCTCGGATAAATCATTTATAATAAATGCTGGAATATTCTATAAAAAAAAAAAAAAATCAGAATAGTCCCTTTTGAGGTTAATGGCATGCTCACATTTAAATGGCATTTAGATAAGTGTGACTTAAGTGTCCAAATACACTGCATTTAACAGGTAAAGTTCTGAAAGTGAACTATCATCTCTCTTTCCTCTCCAGCATTTCAGCAGCGTTTCTGACATGATTGAGAACCACCAGAAGAATCCTCTAGTGCTGGTCGACTCACAGAGCAACACCAAAGACTCCACCAAACTCAGGCATGCAGTGAAGCCATGAAAGTTACAACAGCAACAAGAGCGAATCTGACGAATATAGTTACTGACCTGACACCTGACACACAACTGTGCGATAGTTTCACATCTTACCTTAATAGATGCTGGAAACAGATAACGTGCTGCTATTTATATTATAACTTATTTTAGTGAATGACTGGGCCGTTGCCACATGGCGCGCGCGGCGTGCATTTCCGAAACAGGATTAAAACAACGCGCTATTTTTAATTTGACGCGACGGAAAGCGAGACGCAGAAAATTCCATTCGAGATAATAACATTGCAATGATGAGAGAAGTCCGTGTTGTAACGCATGTTTACATTAGAAGCGATCTATAAAAAATACAGCAGCAGCAGCAGAGATGATCGCCATGTTAAGATGCATATGTGCAGATAAGGTACAGTTGTACAGTTTATGTTTATATGTTGTTGAATCATTGATAAACATTTTGTTTTATATAAAGTGTGTGCAGGAAAAAAAAATAAATATGAATCTTTTTACCTAAAGTTATTGTGTTGTGTACTATGTTAATTACGTTTAATTTACATAAGGTGGAGTCACGTGAGTTAATGAAAAATATTCTTTGGAGCATGCAGTAAGTCAGATCTACAGATAGCGATATCTGCATTGTAAAAAAAAAAAATGTCATAAATAAAAATGACTTCTTTTTAACCACATAGTTACTTTTTTATTACTTAACTTGCTACTTTTTATGTTATATATATATGAATGGTTCAGATGTAAAAGCCTCTAAGTGCCATTTGAAATTTTCTTCTAGAATGATCATTTTTATCAAGCTTGTATATTTAAGTTCAGTGATTTCACTTAAATGGCAATGATAATTACCTATTAATTGTTATTGAAGTGAAATTACTGAACTTAAATATACAAGTTTGATAAAAATCATCATTAAAGAAGAAAATTTCAAATGGCATTTAGAGGCTTTTGCATCTGAACTCTTCATATATATATTTTAATATATATATATTAAAAAGCCCAGTTACATAATGCATGTTCTCAGTGTTTGGGTTAAGGCATTACAAGTAGCCTAACATGATGGTTATTGTAGTTCTAGACTAAATGTGAGCATGCATTTACTCATTTCACTTGCACAAAATCAGATCGCATATTCCTCAAAATGAATAAAAATTTCAATGAAAACTCTTAGCAAGCCCCTGCCCTGTAGTAATTAAATGTTATATACTTGATGCATTAAATCTCATTTTATTAGCCAATGACCATCACTGATCCGACGTAACCTGCTCCCTCTACTGGACAGGTGAGACTCTGCACGTCCTTCGACCTGAGGCTTGGCTGGGAAAGCACCTTTAGATTTTGCCAAACATAGAAAAACAAACAAGCAAGCCTAGCCCAGGTTATAAAAAGTAATGCAAAAGTTACTTATAACTTTAAATAAAAGTAACTTTTGTGGGAGTAGCGCAATATCGGAACACATTAATTATAAGTAATGTTCCCCAGCACTGCATGTTCTATCAAAAAATCTAGTCTTAAATTAGGATCATTTTGTTGAACTGTAGTATCCTAACTAAAAGTATCACCAGATATCTTTTTTTCAGTATACAAGTGTACATACTACATTTAGATTAGAGTTTGATAACCGTGTTTCTCTTAAAAGGCTCAAAATAAAACAAAAAACAAATGCATGTTCAAAATAATTATATTGATTTATTTACTGATCTTCTAGAGGCACTTCTACAACACAGCAGCACAAGGTGTCATTCGCAGCTGTTAGTGCTTATACCAGTGTTTAAACGTCTATACAAACATAGGAGACACATTTTCTTTGGTTTTCAAGTTAGTGGATCACAGTCCTGGAATAAAGACCATCTTCAAATGACACCACTGTTAAGAGCAGTGCAATCAAAAGTCAGCGAGGGTCTCATTTTTAGTCGGTGAAAATAAACATGTTACGAAATTATGATTCTGATCAGATATCACTGAACTTACTGTAAAAAATCCTTTGGCTTCATAAATGAGACTAAAATGATTGACTGAGACCACAACATCACAGTTTACATGACTGCAATACATTAACAATTAATCCGTAATCAAACCCATGTAACGTAAGATAGCCAACTGCATGCTGAAAAAATAAATAAAGACAATTAGCATAAATACAAAATGCTTCCGCATACAGGTGTCGTTTTAAACGAACGCTAAAGCACCTTTGAAAGTCGTTTACAACGGATCAACATTCAAAAGCCTAATTAAAGTCGATTAGTAAAGCAAAACAGCTTCAACTACACGTATCCGTTTCAATAAAATAATAAAACAATGAATTCAAAGCTATTAAGACAAACATATGTCTAGAATCAAACACGACTCTTCGGTCACTCTATTAGTATTATATATCTTACAGCAGTGGAATATTATTATATTTCCTGAGGTCTTTGCAATAATAATCTCTGATGTAGATCACAGTACGAGAGGGATTTGGTCTGACGCAGTGATTTTGAATATACAGTGATGTGAATAAGTTTGGACACCCATGCAAGAGGAATAAAAAAATCATCTTTTGGATATTGATCTTAATGCCTTAATTAGAAAAATGAGGAAAACTCCAACCTTTAAGGACACCAATTTTCTTTGTGAATGAATAATGCATCATAAATAAATAAATGTTTTTCCTTAAAATACAGGGTGCATAAGTCAGGGCACCCCTATGTTAAATTCCCATAGAGTCAGGCAGATTTTTATTCTTAAAAGCCAGTTATTGCATGGATCCAGGATAATATGCATCCTGATATTATATATATTAAAATATCCCCACATCATCACACCTAGAGATTGGCATGGGGTACTTTCCATAAGATCATCTTACAATGCAAATCAAACCAGCTATTAGGCTAACTGAGGTAAAACCATGCCGATATTGGTTTTACTTATTTTAATCCCAAAGGCCAAGGGAACTTTATCAGGATGCATACACTCTAAAAAATGCTGGGTTGTTTTAACCCAATTTTGGGTAAAATGTGGACAAACCCAGCCATTGGGTAAAAAATGTAATTTAAAAATGTAACCCAATGGCTGGGTTTGTCCATATTTTACCCAAAATTGGGTTAAAACAACCCAGCATTTTTTAGAGTGTATTATCCGGGATCCATGCAATAACTGGCTTTTAAAAATAAAAATCTGCCTGACTCTATGGGAATTTAACATAGGGGTGCCGTGACTTATGCACCCTGTATTTTTCCTCTTTTTTTTTTATTTACATTTCTTAATTTACACAATAAACAAAAATAAAAATAGCAGCATGCACCCTGTATTTTAAGGAAAAACATTTATTTATTTATGATGCATTATTCATTCACAAAGAAAATTGGTGTCCTTAAAGGTTGGAGTTTTCCTCATTTTCCTAATTAACTCATTAAGATCAATATCAAAAAGATGATTTTTTATTCCTCTTTTTAGGCAACTTTAGCATGGGTGTCCAAACTTATTCACACCACTGTATTAATAACTAATGCTCTGTACTTTTTCACATTGTGGAACAAAATAAATAACGCTGGCTCGTGTCAATCATATAAATTGCCAGTATAGAATATCACAATAAAGAATGAAATCTCCTCAGATTTGGACCTGTGTTTTCCTCACCCTGAGATTTTCACAGCACTTCTTAAAAATGGCGAATGCGATCATCTGTTAAACCAGCCTCGGGTCGCTTCCATTAGATGTCTCTGTCCGTGTCCCACCCACGCTTCCTGGTTTCTAAAAATCCTCCCGCAAAACCAGCATCTGAACGTCGGCTGAAGCACAACACGCTCCGAGACTGTCGGCACCACGGTGTACTTCCTTCCGCACACTCTTTTAAGCTTCAATTTCAAGCTGAACCTTTCCTTAACCGTCCCGTTCGGCCATTCCCTCCTGAAATGGGATGCATGGCAATCCCCGATGAGGTTATTCGGGAAGTCATCGCCGTTTAAATCTGAGAGGGCTCGGAGGGTTTTGCGAGACAGTACGACCCGTTGCACGGCGTCTTTGTGCTTGTGGACGACTTTCATGATGTTCGTCACCTCGGGAATCTCAGTGTCGGGATGGTTGAGAACTATAACCGGCTGGTTATCCCGTGGGATTTGAACGGATTGTGCGGCGCTGTAGGGAATCAGCCGGAGGGTTGTGGGAACGTCTCGAGCCACCGGTTGCCAGTGGAGGTCTGACCCTGTGACTTCGTCTTCGGAGGCTCGAGGCGAACGCTTCTGGGATTTACTGATTGGAGAGTCCGGAGGGGACGTTTCTCCCATGCGCTTTCTGTTCAGTGATGCAAGAGGGCCGCTCGACTCACATGTGGAAGAGTGTGAATCATCGGGAAAGACGATGCTGGATTGCTGGTTTGGACCTGATGGAAACAGAAGAATAACTAACATGGCACTTTACAAAACATGTTTCAGCAAGCTAAATGTTTTTGTACTATAATAATTAAAAATAATACATGTTAGCTTAGAGAATAATCAAGCATGTTTAATTGCTATATTTTACTCTGAATCAACATACACCAATGCTACAATGCCTATATGTCATGATTATTTGTTAACAAACAACAAAAATATTCATATAATGTCCTGGTTAAAATTGCTTATTTCTCTGGATTTAAACATTTTTGGATGCAAGTAAACAAATCAACAATATATATATAACTTTGTTCAAGTGGTTTTTGAATATATGATTCAGAAACTTTGACCACCTGACCAAGTGTTTTTGAGCCATTCCACCGAAAGGGTGACATTTCTGTCCCCGGGACATTATATATGTATAAAGTTGCATGAAAATTAACTCTAAAATACATTTTGTTATTGAGCAAAATGTCATGCACATTAAGCTATCTACAAATTAAAAATGTATAATTAATTTATCAGTTTTGTTTGGCCCATAATTTACACAATTATTTAATGAATTAATTCTGAAAAAAAAAACAAAATTATAAGCTTGAGTCATCTGTCGTCTTTAAAATGAAAAAATGCCTTTGTGTGTTTTTTTTTAAAAGCAAAATACACCTTGCTTTTATAGTGATTTTATTGGCACAAATACCTTTTTTTTTAACATAACCAACTTAAAATAAACACTTTCTTGTGGGGAAAACAAAGGAATTAATTGACATGCTTCTTAATAATTAATTCTAATAATTAATTAAAGTATACATTAATAAAAACGACACAGAACACAAAAAATAGCATTTTCTGCATCGCTAAACTTTACCATTAAATATTATGAATAAAATCCTTCAGAAATCTGATTTTTCTTGCTTTGTTGTGTGACTTTATATCCAAACTGCTTTAAAATTAAAAAGAAAAAAACATTTGATCTAATATTTTAGATAAAATACACATTTTAGTCATGTCCCCGGGTTTTCACTCAGTCCTGTTACACTATTACATCCCCCCTCTAAAAAACAAAGGCACATTTTCAACCGTAAGTTTCATCATCTGGATCTTCTGAAGGCAATGGGGCGACTATAAGTCACTCCTCTCATTTTCATTTTGGTATATTTGATGAAATTTTAACTATGAATGAGAAGGTCAACCTCAACATACAATCCTGTTACCTAAAATTTTTCTTAGATTTAATGTTTTTATTTTAAAAATATTAACTTTTGGTAAGGCACTAGAAATGTCTCAGTGTCCTCACGCTATTAGCATCAATGCTATGTGGCCATATTTTTGATAATTTTTGGTTAAAAACTCAATCCTGTTACTTTCACTCCTGTTATTATTTTTTTTCTTTTTCTAAAAAAAAAATACAAATTAAATCACTATTTTTATCAGTTTTGCTTGGCCCATAATTTACACAATTATTTAATGAATTAAAATTAAAAAAATGCATTTTTTTATCAAAATACACCTTTCTTGGCACAAATATAATTTTTTTGAACATATAACCAACAATTTCTTTAAAATAAACACTTTCTTGTGGGGAAAACAAAGGAATTAATTGACATGCTTCTAAACTTGCTTTTTAAATGACACATGATTTTCGGTAACAGCATTGAGAAAACGTATTCTGCTTAAACCTTGTAAAAAAAAAAAAAATAAAGTTGCCTGAGATTGACCAATGCACATTTTGAATAGTTAAACATGTGTAGTATTACATTCAATGTTGAAAAAGATCAAAAATAAAGTTTATTTTTGAAGAGTTACAACAAGCAAATGTCACCAATTCGGTGGAATGGTCCTTTTGTCTTTAAAAAAATGCTAATGCAACCTTTTTACACACAAACTGAACAAAATTAATCATAACTTGGTAATTTGTGGAGCTAAACTGGTATTATCTACAGTAAGTGTGTAGTTAATTTTAACAGCTGACAGATATTCAACATAATTCATGTGTGAGAGTCCAACAGAAGGACGGACAAAACCAATCAAATATCCACTGATCTGAGAACTCTGCTCATATTTATTACCATTTCCTAACAATAGCGAATAAACTGTGAGATGTGAGATTGAATATGAATTTTGATTTAACTTTATATCCCTTTGAACACAATTCCACAGAAATTTCCATTGCATTTGAAAGGATTAAAACATTTCCAAAACTGTTTACTGAAGTACACTTCAGCTTATCGCTTACCTCCAGAGCACGTTAAACCAGGCAGAGGTTCATCATCAGTCTGACCCACTCGCGCTTCATCCAGCGAACGGCTGCTTGTTGTTAACGGCGTCTGATCCAGGTCTGGAGCGGTTTCCCTCTCACACTCGCGCTGACCCACCGGGACCGGAGACTCCCTGGGGTCCGAGTTGTTTGTGCACTCGTCAGCCCGACTGTGAAATAACATGCCCTCATCTTCGCTTGGAAAATGACACACCGTCTCAGCCAAATCCTTCAGGGGAGATCTAGAGGGTGGACTAATGCAATCAAACCCTGAGATGGAGCACGAATCTGTGTTTGAATGAAGGTTTGGATCCAGTGTAAGGTTGTGTTCGTTATCAAACGCTGCACTAAGGAGTCGAGAACTACATCTCTCTTCCGAAGAGCCTGCATCTGAGGTCAGATCACTGGGACAGCCTGAATCCCCTTGGCATGCGGTGAAGTTCTCCTCGGATTCACTGAGGGCTTTGTCTCTCTTTGCATGAATATCCGCTTCGGTGCAAGAATGCATTTCGGCCTCGTTAATGTGTGTATCGCAGTCAGTGGGTTCCTGATTGTTGCAGCCATCTTTTTGTTGGCTGTTTATCCTTTCAACCACCGAAGACAAAAAGTCCTGAGAACAGTTTCCTGAGGAAGTATCGATTGGTTTCACAGTGTGAGGTTCAACTCTTGGAGTCGAAACATCGTGTTTGTTTGAAGGAATGACTTTGAGAACTAAGTGCTTTTTGCCGTCCACCATTTTGAATCCCACCACTTTTGTAGTGCAATCTGGGGGGACGGTAATATTGTTCTTCTTCATAAGTCCGGTTAGCTTATCTTTCCGAGTACACTGTGACGGACAGGGTGTCGTCGGCACGAGAGGAACAACTTCAAGCTCGTTTTTGAGGGATATAGGCCACTTATTACCTGTCCTTTTGAGAAACTGTTGCGTTTCCTCTAAGGTCTTCTCTGGATCCATTAACAAGCAATGGTTGTGCAGTAAACCGGGTGTGGATATTGGTAATAATTGGGATGCCCATTGGGGTTCTGGTTTTGGAAGCGATAACTTAAACTCTTGGGATGGGCTATTGTGTTGTTTGCAGACTTGTGCCCGCGTTCTCCACCAGTTTCTTCTGCTCCACCTTTGGCGACATGCAGCAGCCATGTGCTTTAGGAGATTTTTTTTTTGTAAGTTAATGCTTTCTTCACTATTGCTTATGATTGGTGCCGAACACGAGTGACATATAAACTCCTCAAACTCTTGGATGGAGAGTTTGCATTTCGGACAGTGGTACTGACCATTCAGAGAATGGTGAGTTTGACAATGTTCGGTTAGTTGGGGAAGCGTTTGCTGGACGTTGTCATTACAAATCTCACAAGTGAACAAACAGTCCTTGTGATGCATTCGGTGCTGTTGAAGCGTAGTGAACACTGACGTTGAGAAACCACACACGTTGCATGGAAACATCGGCGGGCTTCCTTTGCCTCCGTGGACAATCTTAAAATGCATCGTTAGCTCGCCGGGCGTGAAGGAGATGCCGTCGTTGCACGCGGAGCAGACGAAAGTGTTCACAAGGTGTGGTTTCTTCAACTTTGTTTCTTTCTGTCCTTGTGGCGTATCATTCTTCTCCTCTTTCACAGTGTTTTGTTCTTTGGGGAATGAAAAGGAGGACTTCCTGAGACGCAGGCGTTTATGCCAAATGCTCCTCTCTTCATTCCCAACCTGAGCGTCGGGTTTGGCGTCGACTCTGTCCATTTTGGATGTACAGAGCCCTATACAAGACAAGGAGAAATGCAACATTTAGATAACAGGCTAGATCATGGTTAAAACTCAACAATCAACATAAAATTTGTATCATACTTAAAGGATTAGTTCACTTTTGAAAAAACTTTTGCTGATAATTTACTCGCCCCCATGTCATCCAAGACGTCCATGTCTTTCTTTCCTCAGTCGAAAAGAAATTAAGGTTTTTGATGAAAACATTCCGGGATTTTTCTCCATATAATGGACTTCAATGGGAACCAAACGGTTCAAGGTCCAAATGAGAGTTTCAGTGCAGCTTCAAATGGCTTTAAACGACACCAGACGATGAATAAGGGTCTTATCATGCGAAACGATCGCTTATTTCAAAACTTATTCCAAAAATGTAACTTTTCTAAGGACAAACGAAAAGTCACGTAATACATGATTACGTTCAAAAGGTCACGGGCGACGTAGCCGGAAGTACAGAGTCAGAGTGAACGCATAGGTTGAATGTGCAAACTAACTCAAACGCTGTTTACAAAAAAAGGAATTAAAAGGTAAAACAACAATGTCGGACGATTTTGATTCTGTACTTCCGGCTACGTCGCCCGTGACCTTTTGAACGTAATTACGTATTACGTGACGTTACAAACGCGCCTCACAGAATAGAGCAAGGCTAGCATTCGTCCTTAGAAAAGTTACATTTTTGGAATAAGTTTTGAAGTAACCGCTCGTTTCGCATGATAAGACCCTTATTCATCGTCTGGTGTCGTTTAAAGACATTTGAAGCTGCATCTGAAACTGTTATTAACTCTCATTTGGACCTTGGATCATTTGGTCCCCATTGAAGTCCATTATATGGAGAAAAATCCTGGAATGTTTTCATCAAAAACCTTAATTTCTTTTCGACTGAGGAAAGAAAGACATGGACATCTTGGATGACATGGGGGTGAGTAAATTAACTAATGTAAACTAAATCCTTTAATAATCAATGTTATTATATTTTCACCAATGGTTCTGGTCTAAAAAAAGTATCTTCTGCTCATCAAGGCTGCATTAATTTGATCAAAAATACAGCTGAAATACTAAAATAGCTTTTTTCTATGTTAATATATTGGTGATTTTTGTGATTTTCAGCAGTCTTCAGTGTCACATGATCCTTCAGAAATCACTCTAATATGAGGATTTGATGCTCAAGAAACATTTATGTTACATTTTTGCAATTAAATATTTATTTAATTGTAATAATATTTCACACAAATACTGTTTTTACTGCATTTTTGATCCAAAGCAATGCAGATTTAGTGAGCAGAAGAGACTACTTCAAAAAACATTAACATATTTTATCGACACTAAACTTCTGAACGCGTGTGACGTGTTGTTAAAACTGCGCTCGTTTGTTACGTTTACTCTTGTCATTTTGAGTAATTATTGTAATGAATGATGTTGCACTATTGAGTACTGGACATTAAAATTAAGAAGCATTTTTTGATCAAAATCCTTAAGCTTTCCACACACATATAACAAAAAACAAATGAAAATACTGTCACATAAACAGTAATTACACAACATGCTCAAGAAGGTCTTTGAGAACAAAACCAGATTACATGAAGACTACAACATATTAATTACAATTCAGTGTGTTTGATTTACCCCATGTGTGTGCCCAGTAGCTACTGTGTACTATGGTATTACCATGATTTATGAAATTGGTACATTTTCACTTACATTTTTTTATTTATTACATAGTATATAGACATAGTCCTCTTTTTGTTACCAGTTTAACGTAATCATTTTCTGGTATAATTCGTTTAAAGCAATGCAATGCTTAATACTGACTTTAATACCAGGATTCTTTAGGAAATGTACCATGGTAATACCATGGTATTCTGTGAAATACACTAGACTTCAATTGTAATATGACAGCCTTTCAGTCCCATATGATATACATCACAGGACCATCACTGTATTGTAAACATAGTTTAATACTAATCCTCCTCACATCTCTGTCTCACATCATACTGAGCCATGCAACAAAGACATGAAATGAATTAAAAGCAATCAAGGAGCACATACTAAACATGCATGTTGAACTTTAATCAGTTTGCACCTGTGGTTCAGTTGCCTAATTCCCTCTGTCACAATGCAATGAACGTGTTATAAAGTTTTAAAACACATTTATTGCAATGCAATCTAAAAAGCAATGCAAATATCCTGCGATAGAGTTTACTCTACTAACTATGCAATCCTGCTTATGTAAAGTTGCCCAACAAACATGTTTCAAACTGCTATATCTGTCATGCCATTTGCGCGTGCGACATTGCATTCCCACTTCTAAAACTTTAAATCTTCTTTAAAGTCAACGTTTACGTAATGCATATGTGAAAACGCGTATAAGTGCATGTAAAACTGTCGAAGGTGGTCAGACTTACAGCGCTTTTCCGCCTCCCGTCCAACCAGAATCAGTCAACAGCGCACGGCAGCCATGACAGTTCAATCCGGGGACAAAAGCAGCTCAAGCCCGTGACAAGAGTGGATTACCTGCATGCCACATCACACTAATGCCTAATTGCATTGGCTAAATTGCATGCATTTTTTGATTCAACAATGCTTAGTTTTGCGCTTTGTGAAACAAGTCGTTCGTTGCAACCGATTTGAGCCTGTGCACAGAAAAGCACAAGCCTATGAAGACAGCATGTGCTTCCTCTTTCAACACATCATTGATTCAGCACTGTTTATAACCACCGTATAGAGCCACTGTTAAACCTGATGTGTTGAGCAGTTAACTACATGCTCTTTTACCCAAAATAACAATGTGAGAAAAGTGCATTCATGCATTATAACACTGTAGAAATTAATCTTTTTGTTTAATTTAAGTTTATTTATTTTGTTTTTTTCTCTCTCTAGCTTTTGAATTCTGAAATGAATTCCTTTTAGTGCAAATTAGTTGGATCTATTAGTGTCACTTCTGGAAGTAATATATATTCTAATAATTCTATAATCCTGCAGTGTAGTACAAGGCCTACTTCTAATGCATAAAATACATATCATATCTTTATTATTGCATTTGTATGGTAAATTGCATGGAATTGATGTGTCAAATTACTGTGTGTGTGTGTGTCCATGTGTTTCTATCCCGGTGGGGACTTAAACCTGAGTGCACACAGACTATGGGGACTCGTGTCACTGTAGTAGGGCCCTAAATTGAGGCCCCTATGAGGATAAAATTTTACATACTTAAAAAAAAAAAAATAAATAAAAAAAAAAAATATATATATATATATATATATATATATATATATATTATGAATGCAGAACATCTTGTTTAGGGGTCGGGTTATTGCAAAGGGGGATAATATACAGTTTGTACAGTATAAAGACCATTACGGCAATGGAAAGTACTCACATGGACATGTGTGTGTAACAGAGAGAATCCCATGCAATTTACCATAAAAATGACATAATATAAGATATGATATGTATGTCATGCAGTAGAAGTGTATAATTGTGTCATCTTTGGACAGTGTTTTTGTTGCAAAAGGGGTTAGGCAAAATAAGTCTTGACTTCAGCCTAAACCCCTTCGGTCAGGTATTTATTAGCATCCAAAAAAAAAAAAAAAAAATCAAATGTTTTTATTTTTTCTGATGTATTTCAATCATCTTTTCCTTTTCTATTTTGTTTCATTGTTTTTTATGTATTTGTTTCTTTTGTATTATGTACAGGATTTTTTTTTTTTTTTTTTTTTTTTGCATTACATATGATCTATGATATATGATCTCAAAATGACAGACCGGAGAAATAAATAAGTACAAATAAATACAAAAGTGCATTCGTACCCATGCAGTTTTTTTTTTTTTAAAGTTGGGGTTATAAATGCCAATAAACAGATGTTAGCAGTAGCACAGGAATACCAGCCATTGTTGAGGAGAGCTTGACCTCTAGTGGTGATATAGTGTTAAAACAGGCTCAAATACATTTGCACTTTACGGAACATTATGATTCTTCTCGCATGTCCGTCACGTGCCAATATTTATATAATCACATAATTATTTTCTGTGCAATTCTGTGATTAGCATTTCTTTCTCGCTGCATTGGGGCAAAAGTTCCGTGCCTTATGATGACGCTGATGAAAGATGAGTTCTGATTGGTTGCTCTGTGGTTGTAAGGCGTCTTCCGATTGGCTGAGACTCGCCGTGCCGTGTATCTCTGCGTGTGAACACAAGAGTGCTGAACTTACTCTGATTGTCCGAGTAGGTTTGTTCTGCTGCTGGTTTGAATTGTACTGTCTGTATGCAGGCGTCTTTGTGTGCGGTAAGCACTTCACTGACTCTTTTAACCCTTTTGAGGACTGTGAGTCAACTATTTGACATGAGTTTATTAATACACATTTGATTTATAGTAGGTCAATCAATGCATGCTAGTAAGTTGCATTAGTTCTCGTGACTTGTTGCCTGTGGTCTGCACTGAGTTGGTTTGACCCAATAGCTGTTGTTCACATCACAATGAGGAAGACTCAGGCTTGTTACTCATGATTGAGGATAGTGTTGGACCAATCAAGACCTCAGTCTCTCCGTCATCAGTGCTGATTGTTGCTCAGGCTTTGATTTGTCTTGGGATGCATTGAGGTGCTTTTGCTCAATGAAGCTGATCTGATCTTCAATCCTCAAATATTCCAGGAGCCCAATGGAGCTGGAGGGTCAGTGGTGGAAAGGAGAACTTGCAGAGGACATCTATCAGGCCCTGCGTTACAAAGTTTGTATCTCTGTCATTATTTTGTTATTTGGTGCCACTGAAGTCATGCACAAATCAGTATTACAAAATTATTATTGGACAGGAGTGAAATTGACTATTTGGTTTGTGTGTGTGTGTGGCGTGCATGCATGCAACTTTACTGAATTAATGTAAATGCAACTTGCATGCATTAAAGTTGTATTTACATGCATTCAATAAAGATGCATATTCATGAGTTTAAGTTGCATTTACTTGCACCCATTCAGTAGTTGCATGTGCAACTTTACTTAATGCATGCATGCATATGCATTAATTGAAGTTGCATTCAGTGAAGTTGCATGTATTCAGCAAAGTTGCACGTGCATTCAGTAAAGTTGTATATGCATGCATGCATTCATGTAAATGCAACTAGAATGGTTGCATATGCATCTTTGCTTGGCTATTGCACCGATCAGCCGTTAATAAAACCTTCATTGCAGTAAGATTTTCTTATTGGTGTGCAAAAATGCATGTATGTGCAACTTAACTCGGTTATTGCACAAATCAATATTCCAAAGCATATTAATTGCAGTGTGATTGTCCCATTGGTTGTCTTACAGGAGCTGCGGTTGCCTGCATATAAAGGCCAGTCCCCACAGCTGAGCCTCAGACGATATTTTGCAGACCTCATCGCTATAGTCAGCAATCGGTTCAAGCTGTGCCCAGCGGCCAGACACTTGGCTGTTTATCTGCTGGACCTGTTCATGGACCGCTATGACATCTCAGTACAGCAGCTTCACATGGTCGCTCTGTCCTGCTTGCTTCTGGCCAGTAAGACTTTACTCCTATTAATCATTACTGAAACGAACACAATTCCTGCTCTTAATGTGTATATGCACAAAACCATGTGCAACATGCAAACATCACTCACATTTACTTCTGAAAATGTAAACATGTAGTTGAAGAGACTTCATTTATAACCAAATAGGCCCTGAAACAGGCATAAGTTGCATTAGGAAAATTGATCATGGTGCTCTGACTTAATATTTTCATGCAAATAATGCTCTGTTACCATTAGAAATATAAAGCAATTAAAAATACTATTTGGCCAGTGGAAAAGATTGAGAAAAATGTCTCTGTATTTTATACTATTTTATTCAAAAACAAGGCAAGAATAGGCTACTAAATGATTTTTAACAATGCAACGTGACGGCATATCGGTCTCATATTTCCCTAATGTCTTGTACCTTTAAATATGGCATCATGTGAATGAATATGCATATCCAAACGATATGCATAGTAAAACGAGGCATGGTAAACTCCATATGTGGTTATTTCGGGGAGGAGACGCATATTTTTTTTTTCAGTAAGGGTCCTATGCACAGTTTTATAAATGAGAACCCTGACCACAAAAGTAAAATGCTGTGCATACATGTCATGTTGACTCATCTCACAAGTTTTTATCATGCAGGTAAGTTTGAGGAGAGAGAAGACCGTGTCCCGAAGCTGGAGACACTGAACAGTCTGGGCTGTATGAGCTCCATGAACCTGGTTCTGACCAAACAGGGTCTCCTGCACATGGAGCTGCTGCTCCTCGAGACCTTTCAGTGGAACCTGTACCTTCCCACGGCCGCCCACTTCATCGAGTATTACCTGCCGGTCGCCGTGAACGAGACGGACCTGCATGACGGCTGGCCGATGGCCTGCATGGAGAAAACCATGCTTTACATGTCCAAATATGCCGACTACTTCCTAGAGGTGTCTCTGCAAGGTGCGGCGTCCAGTCCTAAACTCAATTCACAGTTATTTCTATAGTGCTTTTCACAATACACACACACACACACACACACACAAAATGATTGCTTGATATTTCCAAAAAGATTAAACAAATGCATTACGTAAAATTAGCTTGTTTTTTCATCGTATAATAATTAAAATATTCAAAATTAATTCGGATTTATTTGTATGGCGCTTTTCACAATACACATCGTTTCAAAGGAGCTTTACAGAAAATGCACACACATACACACAAAATGATTGCTTGATATCCATATTTCCAAAAAGATTAAACAAATGCATTACATAAAATTAGCTTGTTTTTTCATCGTATAATAATTAAAATATTCAAAATTAATTCGTATTTATATAGCGCTTTCACAATACTTATCGTTTCAAAGCAGCTTTACAGAAAATGCACACACACTCACACACACAAAATGATTGCTTGATAACCATATTTCCAAAAAGATTAAACGAATGCATTACATAAAATTAGCTTGTTTTTTCATCGTATAATAATTAAAATACTCAAATTCAATTTATATTTATTTGTATAGCGATTTTTCACAATACACATCGTTTCAAAACAGCTTAACAGAAAATGCACACTACACACACACACAAAATGATTGCTTGATATTTCCAAAAAGATTAAACAAATGCATTACGTAAAATATAGCTTGTTTTTTCATCGTATAATAATTAAAATATTCATATTCAATTCACAGTTATTTCTATAGCGCTTTTCACAATACACATCGTTTCAAACACACACACACACAAAATGATTGCTTGATATCCATATTTCCAAAAAGATTAAACAAATGCATTACATAAAATTAGCTTGTTTTTTCATCATATAATAATTAAAATATTCAAATTCAATTCATATTTATTTGTATAGCGATTTTTCACAATACACATCGTTTCAAAACAGCTTAACAGAAAATGCACACTACACACACACACAAAATGATTGCTTGATATTTCCAAAAAGATTAAACAAATGCATTACATAAAATTAGCTTGTTTTTTCATCGTATAATAATTAAAATATTCAAATTCAATTCATATTTATTTGTATAGCGCTTTTCACAATACACATCGTTTCAAAGCAGCTTTACAGAAAATGCACACACACACACACACACACAAAATGATTGCTTGATATTTCCAAAAAGATTAAACAAATGCATTACGTAAAATATAGCTTGTTTTTTCATCGTATAATAATTAAAATATTCAAATTCAATTCCTATTTATTTGTATAGCGCTTTTCACAATACACATCGTTTCAAAACAGCTTAACAGAAAATGCACACTACACACACACACAAAATGATTGCTTGATATTTCCAAAAAGATTAAACAAATGCATTACGTAAAATATAGCTTGTTTTTTCATCGTATAATAATTAAAATATTCATATTCAATTCACAGTTATTTCTATAGCGCTTTTCACAATACACATCGTTTCAAAGCAGCTTTACAGAAAATGCACACACAAAATGTTCGCTTGATAACCATATTTCCAAAAAGATTAAACAAATGCATTACGTAAAATATAGCTTGTTTTTTCATCATATACTTAATATTTAACACAATAATTAAAATATTCAAATTCAATTCATATTTAGCGCTTTTCACAATACACATCGTTTCAAAGCAGCTTTACAGAAAATGCACGAGTCCACATTACAATAGAGCGATCTGTTATCAGAGGAAACATGTGCATTTCAGCAAATCACAGTTAGTAAAAAATGTATTAATGAAGTCTTGTTTGTTAACAAACGATTATGACATAAATTCACATGCATTGCATTTTCACCTGTATATGAACTACATGATCTGCAGAATCAGAATGTTTGTGTTTTTAATGTAAGAAAAAAACTTTCTTCCCTGTGTGAAGACCATGCATTTCTGCGGTTCGTGCCGTCCCTGGTTGCAGCGGCGTGTGTGTCGTCCTCGCGGGTGATCCTGCGTCTGTCTCCGTCATGGCCTCCGCGTCTCCAGCGTCTGTCTGCGTACACCTGGGACCAGATTCTGCCCGCCGTCGAGAGACTGCTAATGTGAGTTTCAGCTTTTCAAAAGTGTATTCTGCTCATCAAGGCTGATTAGAATACTGTATTATAAAAATATAACACAGTATTTTTATATGTTCTATATTTTATAATATAATATTTATAATATATATATAATTATAATATATATATATATATATATATATATATATACAATATTTATAATATATTTTATATTTTATAATATAATAATATTTCCTATAAAAATAGGAAATATTAGTATAATTTAAAATGGCTGTTTTCTATGTGAATATATGTATAGTAAAGTGTAATTTATTCCTGAATTTTCAGCATCATTACTCCAGTTTTCAGAGTCACATGATCCTTCACAAATCACTCTAATATGAGGATCTGATGAACAAGAAACATTTATGATTATTATCAATGTTAAAAAAAGTCGTGCTTGCAGTTTTGGGTACCTTTAGATTATAAAAAATACTTCTGTTCGAAAAGGGTGTATTCTATTTATCAAACATTAATACTGTTACAAAAGATTCTATTTCAAATAAATGCTGTTCTTTTGAACTTTATATTCGTCAAAGAATCCTGAAAAAAATGGATCATGTTTAAAGCAAAAATATTAAGAAACTAAGAAACATTAACTAATTGAGCACCAATAGCCTATATTAGAAGGATCATGTGACACTGAAGACTGGAGTAATGATACTGAAAATTTAGCTTTGATCACAAGAATAAATATATATATTATCAGAGAAAACAGCTGATTTACATAGTAATAATATTTAAAAAATATTACAGTATTTTTAATCAAATAAATGTAGCCTTTGTGAGCAGAGACTCTTTTCACAAACATGAAAACTCGAGAGTATCAGTGTTTTGACCTCATTGAAACATTTCTGTAAGGTCCCAGTTTTGCTGAATTAAAGCACTGATGTGTGATTTAGCATTAATAGGCTGTGTTCCTCCATCGTTTCAGTAGTGCGCTCACTCATGCATCGCATGCTTGTGTATTATAAAGGGTTTGTACATGGTGCTTTAGTTCTCGAATTTGACTTAATTTGAAGTCAATAGGCTATATAAGAAAATTGTGTTTAATTTTATTGATAGAAGTGTTTTTTTCACAGCCGTCTGATATTGATATAGAGCCATTTCACATGGCTATGAGTGTAATATTGCTCATATAATTATTCAAGTATATACTACAAATGTTTTTATTGGTTTTAAATGAAAATACAAAATAACACATCATAAACAGTAGACAGTAACATATTGTCCATTATTTATCCCTTACATGATCTCCCTACTCAATCCAATAGCAAAAAAAAATAATAAAAATAAATAAATAAATAGAAATAAAAAGAAATAAGTAAAATAAAAATATAAAACATATAATAATAATAAAAAAAAATATGTGTAATATAAAAATTCTCCCTAATTATTCAAGTCAAGTATTCAATAAAATTAATCAAGCCTAATTATACATTCTCCCTAATTATTCAAGTATATGATACAGATTTCATTCTTCTGATCGATTATAGAAAGTCAGTTTGAATAAGAAAAGTCATAGTAATGGTTAAAGTTACCACAGCCATTGCATGTGCTGCACTTTATGTGTGCCATTTTGTTTTAATAGTTTTTTTGTCTACTTGCCTTTTTTAGAATTCGAAAGATAAAAAAGATATTGTTTGATAAGCGAGATATCTGATTATAGTCCTTAGAAAAAGCAGTGCTTAAAGTCCTTGAAGTTTAATTTTACAGGATCTGTACGAACCCAGTTGAAATGAAATGAAATGAAAAGATTTGATGGAAAATATTGGACATCATCACCCCTTATATTTCTCTCTCTCTCTCTCAGTGCTCACGACAGTGATGTAAAGGAAGCAAACAAGCAGAAATGCCAGCATCAACAGACGGGGTATGCGGTCCCGGGTCAGTCCCACCAGTACATGCAGCGTCCGAACACACAGTACATGCAGAACTGCCCGCCGGTCGTCGTTTCAGCGCAAGGTCCCGCTACATACCTGACATCCACAGCGCCTATACATGGCCTGGGACACACACAGAACATGGATGGCAAGGTGAACGTGCCTGCAAGAGCTTACCAGGCCAGCACTCTTTACCCCTGCTACGACAGGTGATCGCAACGGGACGGGGAAGCGGCGGACCGTTCCACTGCACAGTCAGGGGCGAGTTTGTATTTATTGAGTGCAAATGTGGGATTGCAGACACTACTACCACTGCATTGCATTTACATGAATGCATGCACACACAGTGTTACTGAATGCATGAAAATGCAACATCCTTGTGATTCGAGTGAAGATTTCTATCAATAGAGTCATCCCAAATGTGCAATATTATAATGCTGTCATGCACTTCCCACTGAACACTGTCTTGTGTTAAGTTTACTTCAAAGCATTATTATTTACAGGCATCGTTCTAAATGAAGACATCATGGTAGTTTGAAGAAACTTAAGTACAAGAAAATACTGTTTTTACCAACACAAGCAAGTGTTATTTTGCTCTACCTCACTGAATGTAGACTATTATTGTCTTGCGACCTTAAAAATGCACTTTGGTATAGTGTTTTTTTTTTTTCTCCCTTTTTTTTTTTTTTTTTAATAAAATGCAACTTTTCTGTTGTAGCTTGTTTTGGTGGTGTGCATTTTGCACTGAGGTTTGTATCGATTGATTATTAAATTCACCCTTCTCTGATTCGCACAAACATTTACAGATGCAACGTTTTGTCATTATGAATAGTTCTACCTCAACAGCTTTTTGTTTTGAGAATCACACACTGCAATTTTGATGTTGAAAAGTCAAACTTGATGCATTTGGTCTGATGATCACGATATGCGAGGGTGTTTTTGTAGAGTAAATGCTAATAAAAAGCTATTTGATTTATAATAGTGATGTAAATATTTGTCGCAGTTAAAAATGCTGTCTAAAAATGAAGTTTACTCAAGCATTTCCATGAATATTGGACTTTTAATCTGGATTCTAACGCTTGCTATGTCTAATGGTTTAAACTCATTAACATGATGAATCTCTGCAGAAAACCAAACTGAGGCATGTGTGAAATCATGACAGGAAATGAGACTTAAATGAAACATTTAAAAGGGAAAATGATCATTCTGGTATTGATCTTTGTTGTGGGCACATGTATATATGTCATACATCCATGTCAGGGAGAATTATTTTTCCTTTAGGGCAAGTTGTTCCATGCGTCATTGCAACTCAAAATATGAATGCTATAAAGCACATAAACCAAAAACAAAACCTATTTAAAAAAAGCAAAAAATATTTTGTGCTTATCGAATTACCTATCAGACAAGCATATATATATATATATATATATATATATATATTTTTTTTTTTTTTTTTTGAAGTGACGAAATTGCAATAATAGAGATTTTTGTCTCAAACCAAGGGTTTTCTAAACTACTTAATTAAAAATAAGATTAAAATAAATATATAAAAACGGATTAAAATAATTGTGAAAAAATCTTGAAACTAGACAAACAAATAACAGTAATATATCTAACAGTACAGAGCGAAACAAAATATATATAACGCAATTTTTTCCAAATAATTGTGTTTATTGAAATAGTCTAGAGACCTTTATTTTGAAGAATTGCCCAGCTTTGGCTCTGACTGGTGACTAGACAAACGTTAGCCACGGCTTTTTTTTTTTTTTTTTTTTTTTAAGCAATATTGTTTTAGTTTTTAGTTTTTTCTTCTTCTTCTTTTCTTGACGACAACAGGCTTTAGAACCAGAACAAAACCACCGATCTAATGTCACCGGAAAACTGACCCAACAGAAATAGCTAATTATTTTTATCGCGTTATTATTATTAATATTATTATTATCATCATTAATATTATTTTCACTATTATTAATTAATTATTATTATTTTGTGTGTTTTCTAACCGCACCGCAGGAACTCCTCATCTGTCGTCACATCCGGTGTGTTGGAAAACCTCTAGAATGTTTCAGTAGCTTCTCGTTCACTCCTGTGTGTGTATATTAAAGCGCGTGTACGGCTGTCATGAATATATCCGCATTAACGCTCATGAAAACCTAAGCCCTCCACCTGTGCTGGAGACGTCAACAGGAGCATCGTATTACAAATCAACAGGTAAGATAAAACAGGAGCAGGGAGGATTCAAGACTGACTAACACACACACATGCTGTCAAAACGCTGTATGGGAGTGTGTGCAGACATATTCTTATGTAGCGGTGTTCATACCTGGGATTCATGCAGTATGTGTTTATGGTCTTATTAAAGTCACAAATGCAGTAAGGTGTATTTTATATTATATTATTACACATACATACATACATACATACATACATACTTTGTTTGCGGTAAGAATTAACTGACATTCTTACCAACCGTTTTAACGGTAATTTTCACTCATCGTCATAGTGTCTGTTCGGTGGTCAGTGGATTTAAATCTCACGTGAATCACGTGATCTGCAGTTCAGCCTTCGATATAGTGTTACATATATTTGTTGGTATTTTTAGTGCAGAAAAGTTACTATATGTGTCTTTACGTTCTTAAAGTGCCAGTGCCCATTTTAATGCATCCAATTATAGACTTCAACTCTAAGCTGTGTTATGCAATAATTGTTTATGTACACACACCTCCCACAAAGTGAACTTTCTAGAGAGCTTTCTGTCGAATTCTCTTCGCAGGGCGGGACTAATCTGTATGCTTTCATGCTAATCTATTTAACTAGTTCGTTTTTTAACCTAGTGATTGGGAATCAATATACTATAAGAATAGTCAGTTAACGTTACTTATAGAAAATGTGGTTTAGAGTATATGGTTATGGTATTTGTTAAAGTAAAATATAAGTTTAGACATTTTAGTATATTGCTTTAATGCAAGTGATTTTTTTTATTTTTTATTTATCATTACCTCCCTTTTGTCCATTATTATTTTTACTGTATTTTCTGCCGCCCTCTATGTATCATTAAAAAAGACCTAAGATGAAAATAAAAGTAAAACTATCACATTTGTGATAACAAATCAAACCGGTAATTATAGATACTACAAGTATGACATGAAAAACTATGAAACGCATAAATAAAATATTCAAACAAGAAATAAATGTATAACAAAATAAACAAAACATAATGCACAACCTGTTTGAAAGGGGCCAGGTTCAAGCCCTGGGCTTATTAGGTCTTACCTCCAGTACTTGCCTAAACCAAATCACAATCAAACAAGAAAAATCAGGTATACCATTTTATATAATACAAAAATACTACGCCAATTTATACCCCTAACCAAACCTAAATTCTTTCTAAAGTATAGTGAGTTGCTTATAGAAATCATGGTTTAGCGCATATGGTGATAAGATTTGTTAAAGTAAAAATTATAATGTAGGTGTGTAAATTTTAGTATAAGATTAGATTAAGATTTAGATTATTTCTATTTTTATAAAAAAATATATGTATCAAATGTAAATATTATTTTTTTATTATTTGTTCTATTTTCATCATTACCTCCCTTTTGTCCATTTATTGTTTTTATTTTATTTTCTGTATGTAGGGGAGCGTTAGGCACAACGTAACGCGGGGCTTGTTGTAACACGCTTCATAGAGAAAAAATTGCGCCAAAATTCAGAAATCTTTGTAAGAAATATCACTGAACATTTATTTGACCATAGCAAAAGTACATTTCTTACTTAAGTACATTTTTCATTTTTTTTAAATTAGGCAAATCTGATATTATTTCAAGTTGATATAGTTATTTAATGCTTCGCTAACTAGCAGAAGACACTAGCATGGTTTAAACCCCAGTTGTGGAGGCGGGGCATGTTGTCACACTGCGTTACAATGTGCCCCTATTAGAAATATGATATTATATTTTATACTTTTATGAATTCTATTGAGGAGAAACATGTGAGAGTCAATGTTCAGAAATTATTCATTATTATTTTGTTTTTAACTATGCTGATAGCTGTGTTTTCCAGTGTGTTTGTTGTCAAACTCAAAAATGAGTATTTTTTTAATTATTAAAAATGCCATTATTTTATATGAACAAGTTAATAATTGTATTTTATTAAATATATTGTGTGTATGTGTGTAGGTCTGCTCCTGCGTAAGAGAGCGGCCACACGGGCCCGTCGTCATGCTATGCTGGGGAAATGCCTCGTACGGGCAGCTCGGTTTAGGTGGGATTGATGAGGAGATCGTGCTGGAGCCGCGCAAGTGCGAGTTCTTCGAGGGCAAGCGCGTGAGAGATGTGGGATGTGGCAGACGTCACACTGTCTTTCTGCTGGAGGACGGGACGGTTTACACATGCGGGTGTAATGACCTGGGTCAGCTGGGGCACGACAAAGGACGCAAGAAACCAGGTAGGGCCACAAAGACAGTCTGCTAGCATTATAATGTCATAGCTTTTAATTGGACTTCTTGATCTTATCTGAATGATTCACTGTGAATCACTGTGGCCACTATTATTTTCCAAAAAGAAAAATTAGTGAGACTTAAAACGGTAATAACTAGGTGATGATTCCTTCATTCTGGTATGAAACAGCCACTTTTAAAATGCAAGCCTCACCCTTCTTTTTTTGTAACTCTCAAGTAAAATACAGGTTTTAAATATACTGGAGAAGAGTAAAGTGTTTCTTTGTTTTAATTTTTCCCATTTTATCTAAACTTCCACTCAAAATGTTACAGTGTTTGTGAAAGAAGTCTCTTCTGCTCATCCAGGCTGCATTTATTTGATCAAAAATACAGTAAAAACAGGAATAATGTGAAATATTAACATTTAAAACTGCTCTTTTCTATGTGAATATATATATATATATATATATATATATATTTATGTATATATATTAGGGCTGTGCAAAAATTAATTGCGATTAATCGCATCCGAAATAAAAGTGTTTACATAATATATTTGTGTGTGCTGTATATAATTATTTTGTATATATAAATACACTCACATGCATGTATATATTTAAGAATTATTTGCATTTAAATTCTGTATATATATATATATAAATACATAATCTACGTATATTATATAAATATAAAAAATTTATATTTGAATAACACATTTTCTTAAATATATACATGCATGTGTGTGTATTTATATATACAAAATAATTATATACAGCACACACACATATATTATGTAAACACAGACTTTTATTTTGGATGCGATTAATCGCAATTAATTTTTGCACAGTCCTAATATACAGTATATATATATATATATATATATATATATATATATAATAAATATGTAATTTATTACTGTGATCATCTTTACTCCAGTCTTCAGTGTCTCATAATCCTTTAGAAATCACTCTAATATGATGATTTACTGCTCAGGAAACATTTACTGAATATTTATCCTTCCAGAATAAAATTATTTATTTCTTTAAAAAAAAAAAAAAAAAAAAAAATTTTATCAATGGATTTAGGCTGTACTTTCATAACATCTGCTGAAATCAATCTGATGGATTTGGTATCATAATTCCATAACACAGAAATGCATTTTAGTCGGTCAGTGTGACATCTGCAGCTGTCATTTCCTCAGAAGTCACATGACCTCTAACTCAATGACCTGAAACATTAAGAAATATGTTCCACTGAAACTGATGGTCCCGTTATTAACATCACTGCTTCACATGCCAGTGGATCAAAACATATTACAATACATAATACAGTAAAATATAATTGTATCCCTTAAAACTCATATTTTGATCACCAAACAAAATGACATATCCTCAAAATATCCCTGAAACAGCTTGAATGTAATCCGACACCCTCATTTAGTATGCAGTCCTATGAATATGCAAATGAGCACCACCTCCACTAACTCACTCACTGGTTGACGATCACCCTTTGATCTGATTGGTCAGAAACACCAGCGATTTCAAAGCGTGACTGTCTTTGGTTCACTGCAAATTTAAGGAGAAAATACTCAGCAATGCTGTCGACTTATGAATTTAAAATGAATTTGGTCGTAAAGCATATTAAAAACAACATTAAAAGCTTGATTTTCACAACAGAGGGACTTTAAGGAACATTAAGAATGTCGTATTATACAGATTATGCAGTTCAGTATATTGAATATACGATACATTGGCCAGTTTCCCCAGTGTATGCGTCTGTATAATCACTCTTGATGTTTACACCCTCTCTCTAGAACAGGTAGTGTCTCTGGATGCTCAGAACATTGTGGCGGTGTCTTGCGGTGAATCTCACACTCTGGCTCTGAATGATAAAGGACAAGTGTTTGCGTGGGGTTTGGGTTCAGATGGACAGCTCGGCCTTTCGAATATTGAAGATTGTCTCCGTGTACCCAGGTAAAAAATCTTCACCTCGTACCTTGTGAAGTATAAACGGCCTCTGTAATGGATGCCGTACTGAAAAACTTCTGTAGTCCGTGACCTACATGGCATAACCTCCTCTTTCTTCTCAGAACTGTCAGGAGTTTGTCTGAGGTTCATATTACCCAGGTGGCCTGTGGATATTGGCATTCTCTTGCTTTAGCCAGAGGTATGATTCTTACTATAGTAATAAACCTGGGCCCGTATTTATCAAGCTTCTCAAAGTGCCGTTTTATTCTTAAGTAACTCCCAGATTTGGCTGAACTTGCATTTTATAACATGTTTCTGCCGTTCGACTAATTCTGTTACATGTTTTTTGCCGTTGGACTAATTTTTATTACGTGTTTTTGCCGTTCAACTAGTTTTTATAACGTGTTTTTGCCGTTGGACTAATTTTTATAACGTGTTTTTGCCGTTGGACTAATTTTTATAATGTGTTTCTGCCTTTCGACTAATTTTTATAACGTGTTTCTGCTGTTCGACTAATTTTTTAACGTGTTTCTGCCATTCGACTAATTTTTTTTAACGTGTTTCTGCCGTTCGATAAATTTTTTTAACGTGTTTCTGCCATTTGACTAATTTTTTTAACGTGTTTCTGCCATTCGACTAATTTTTATAACGTGTTTTCTGCCATTTGACTAATTTTTATTACGTGTTTTTGCCGTTCAACTAGTTTTTATAACGTGTTTTTGCCGTTGGACTAATTTTTATAACGTGTTTTTGCCGTTGGACTAATTTTTATAATGTGTTTCTGCCTTTCGACTAATTTTTATAACGTGTTTCTGCTGTTCGACTAATTTTTTAACGTGTTTCTGCCATTCGACTAATTTTTTTTAACGTGTTTCTGCCGTTCGATAAATTTTTTTAACGTGTTTCTGCCATTTGACTAATTTTTTTAACGTGTTTCTGCCATTCGACTAATTTTTATAACGTGTTTTCTGCCATTTGACTAATTTTTATTACGTGTTTTTGCCGTTCAACTAGTTTTTATAACGTGTTTTTGCCGTTGGACTAATTTTTATAACGTGTTTTTGCCGTTGGACTAATTTTTATAATGTGTTTCTGCCGTTCGACTAATTTTTATAACGTGTTTCTGCCGTTCGACAAATTTTTTAACGTGTTTCTGCCATTCGACTAATTTTTTTAACGTGTTTCTGCCATTTGACTAATTTTTTTAACGTGTTTCTGCCATTCGACTAATTTTTATAACGTGTTTTTGCCGTTCGACTAATTTTTATAACGTGTTTCTGCCGTTCGACTAATTTTATAACGTGTTTTTGCCGTTCGACTAATTTTTATAACGTACTTTTGCTGTTCGACTAATTTTTTTTACGTGTTTCTGCCGTTCGACTAATTTTTTTAACGTGTTTCCGCCGCTCGACTAATTTTTTAACGTGTTTCTGCCATTCGACTAGTTTTTATAACGTGTTTCTGCCGTTCGACTAATTTTTATAACGTGTTTCTGCCGTTCGACTAATTTTTATAACGTGTTTCTGCCATTCGACTAATTTTTTTAACGTGTTTCTGCCGTTCGACTAATTTTTTTTAACGTGTTTCTGCCGTTCGACTAGTTTTTTTAACATGTTTTTGCCGTTCGACTATTTTTATAACGTATTTTTGCCGTTCGACTAATTTTTATAATGTGTTTTCTTTTGGAATCCCTGTTGGCTGAATATATCATAAAATCTTGGCTATATATATAAATATGTGTGTATATAGGTCAGTTAACAGCACAATGGTTTAAAATTGATAATTAAGACATGGTGGAAAATCTTCATCTTTCATTTCCAATGTGTATATCAGTATGTATTCTCTTGAAAGTGATTTATTGTCAAATATGTGTTGAATGTAAACTCCTCTTAGGAATTACACCATTCAATGTGAATTTATCTGAATATTCTTAAATAAGGAAATCTATTCAGTGATTGGTCCATCCCAAAATCCCGTTTGTGGCTCAGCAGCAAAGTGTTGTGGATCATCTATAAAGATCACTCTTAAGATTTAGTCCTACACTTCACTTAAATTACGACTGAGATGCTTAATAACCAACTTTATAACCAAGTGCAGTTTTGAGTCCATTCTTAGCAGTGTTCTTGAGTAATTCTCAAAGGCTTGATAAATATGGCCCCTGATTATCACGCCTGAAAATTACCCTAATTATGTGCCATTCTTCCCAAATTCTCGCTGAAGGAGGTCAGATATTCTCATGGGGCCAAAATAAATATGGACAGCTGGGTCTCGGGAAGCAAGGAGCGGGTGTTTCCACCCCACAAGTCATTCAGTCTTTGCAGGGCGTCCCGTTTGCCCAGATTTCTGCGGGAGGCGCTCACAGCTTCGGACTCACGATCTCTGGGGCCGTTTTTGGCTGGGGGCGAAACAAGTTCGGCCAGCTGGGCCTCAGCGATAATGATGGTAAAACAAACACCTTAGACATTCAGTTGAGCTTTCTCTGGTTTAATGATTTTATAGTGGAGTACGTGGTGTTCCTCAGATCGCAATTTCCCTGCCTTGCTGAAGACTCTCAGGTCCCAACGGGTCGTTTACATATGCTGTGGAGAGGACCACACGGCTGCACTAACAAAGGTGTGGATTGATTTTACAGGATTTGTTGCTTATTTTAAGGGCTTAATAAGCTTAAAGTAGTAGTGTGCACACATCCACATCCAGGTGCCTGACGAAGACCTTCAGGTCGAAACCTAGTCAATAAATTCATCCTTTGAAAGCAGCAGTGTCAGTGTGCTGATTTTTGCTTAACCCTAAAATTCTGTATTCTGGACAAATGTCGGCAAAATCGTTTTGATTTATTTTTTAAAAAAAAAAATACTTCCCCTGATGTGAGCGGTACAAGACTTGGCTACTTTTCCTAAGTTTGCCTCCTGAACACACACATTTTTTTTTTTTACTCAATTTAAGTGGGTGAAAAAAAACTCCTTAATCTTGTATTTGGGTCAGAAATGGGCACCCATAGAAATGAATGGGAAAAACTGAAATTTAGAGCATTCTAAAATAAGCCAAAATAAGACACCAGGTGACGGCAAAGTCACTTCATCTTTAGGTTTTAGCTCTAAGAACTTATTGGAATGATATTTTAATGTAGTTTAAAAAAAAAACATAAAAATAAGCATAATTTACATAGAAAATATGGTACTTTTTGAAGTAAATAAATTCAAAAATACCCCCAAAATAAAACTAAAACACCATAAATGGATAGACAAAACTTTATCGAAGACAGTGATATAACATTTATAATAAATAAAAATTAGCATCACACCTGAATCCTCTGTGCCCACATTTGTCCACAATTACAGGATTAAGGGCTATAAAGTGAATACGGTTTGAGGGCTACAAAGCAATATTATAATTTGTTATGACGCATTAAATGTAGGAAATAGGAATGCACCAAAAAAATCTGGGCCGAATCGAAAATGCTTTTTAAAAATTGTTATGTTTGTTTAATTGTATTAATATTAGACTTTAAAAAAAAATGAAATTCAGTCATTTTAATGATACTGAATTTAAGAAATATACATATTGAGGGGTAGATACAT